TTTAGTTGTTCCATATTGTAGACACGACCTAACCTATATCCTCTCTGAAACAATTCCTTTGGGGGAGAAAAAAATTAAGGATGTTTTTCATCAGCCAAGCTGTATCTGCTTAGCCAACAGCTAGCCAGCAGGAAGAGCACATTCCAAAGTAATCAGCTCCTTTCCACTTAGCCTCTGTGTGCCCCAGGCCTCTGGCTGCTAAAAAGCAATTCCTTAGCAAATTGAGTCTGTTCATTTTTCTTAAGGTTTGTTATCCTCCCAGAGGGAGGATGGTGTTGCTTGACAGATGGTTACAGTCAGTTCTGGTTGGTACTGACTGGCCAGCTAATCTTGCCTACGGCATTGGGAGCATGCCCACTTGGAGGAAAACGGAAAGGCAGCTGGATCTGACCCTTCTAAGAGTTTTAGAACAACTGAGAAGACTGGGACAATATAGTGCATTGAACTACTTAACAGACATTTATGCCAAGGGTGGGCAGATTAGATGGAAAGGCTCAGCTTAGAAGGAGAAATTTCCTACTCAGAATTGTCCATGACCTTCCTGCGATTTTTATCTGTTCTTTTTTAATTTTTGCCAGAGGGTGCATGTGCTTGCAGAGAGAGGGAGAGAGGGAGAAAGCATCCCCCGGTGAGGTGTGGTCACACCACAGTCCCTTTGTTTCTCCATCCTGTCGGGGTTTGGGATACATGCACATGCACATCCTGCGTGTTTCTAAAGCTAGCTACTGGGACTGGGATTCGAGCTGTGGGCAGCCATGTGGGATCCAGCCCCTTCCTGCAGTTTCTACCACAGTGCACGTCCCAGACCAGCCCTTCTCTATCTTGGAACCTGGGACTCAGCCTTCATTTCTTTGTTTATTTTTAGGGTTTTTAAGGGAAAATGAGAAATCACCCCCAAGGAGGGATGACCACACTATAGGAGAGTAATGGTCACGTTGTTGGACTTCCACGTGGTCAACTGTGGTTCAAGTCCCAGACCTGGCGGCTTAAAATTCACACCAGGTATGTATGTGTGCATGCCCAAAATCCTACAAGGAGAATGGAGGAGAAGGGATTGCAGCATGGCCATCCCCCAGGGTGGTGATTTCTAGCTTTCTCTCTCTGGTGGGTGCACATGCCCTATAGCAAAAAAAAAAACTCTCAAAAAAAAAAAAAAAAGGAAAAGAAAAACATGCTGGGTGTGTGTGGGTGCGTGCCCCAAATCCCAAGAGGACAATGGAGGAAGGAATTGCAGCATGGCCATCCCCTAGGGAGGTGATTTCTCACTTTCTTTTTTTTCTCCGTCTGTCGCTCCGGTGAGCACATTCGCCCCATAGCAAAAACTAAGAAAAAAATAATGTATTTACAGTTTGCCACATTCCCTCTTCCCTGCCTCAGAGAACTCAGAAGTCTGGATCTAGGTCAATCCCATACTAGCCTGACCTGCGAGTGGATCCCCTTGTAACTTGGTCTGTGATTAGCTTGCTCATGATAAACAGAAAGATGTTTTCTTTATGTTGGGCCACTGAGATTTAGTTGTTCCATATTGTAGACACGACCTAACCTATATCCTCTCTGAAACAATTCCTTTGGGGGAGAAAAAAATTAAGGATGTTTTTCATCAGCCAAGCTGTATCTGCTTAGCCAACAGCTAGCCAGCAGGAAGAGCACATTCCAAAGTAATCAGCTCCTTTCCACTTAGCCTCTGTGTGCCCCAGGCCTCTGGCTGCTAAAAAGCAATTCCTTAGCAAATTGAGTCTGTTCATTTTTCTTAAGGTTTGTTATCCTCCCAGAGGGAGGATGGTGTTGCTTGACAGATGGTTACAGTCAGTTCTGGTTGGTACTGACTGGCCAGCTAATCTTGCCTACGGCATTGGGAGCATGCCCACTTGGAGGAAAACGGAAAGGCAGCTGGATCTGACCCTTCTGCCCTACCTGTGCCACTTGGGGCCACCATGAGTATGATTTCGTCAGGGTGGGCCGGACCCGGGGACTGAGGCCTCTGGCATTCCAAAAGCCTCTAGCATCTGGTTTGGGGGTGGTCAGGCAGCATGTCCATGGAGAGGACAGGATAAAGGTAGCATAAGGAAGAGCCGGGGCCGTGTGGTCAGGCCCGAACTTCAGTCCAGGCTCCACCTCTTCCTGGCTGTGGGCTCTTGGGGAAAATCCAGGTACCTGAGCTTGGTAGTCCTCCACTGAGATGAACAAGTTCAACAATTCTCAGCTCATTGGGTTATTAGATTGTAGACAGTGAGTGCTTAGCTCGGGGTCCGGGCCATGGCAAGTGCTCAGAATGTGGTAACCATGGCAATGCCAAAGTTGATGAGCTAGATTCTAGTCCGAAAAGCCCCTCTCATCTGTGGACTCCAGGCAAAGCAGTGATGCATAATAGCCACTGTAGCTCGGATGCTAATTAGATCTTCCTTGTGATTTCAGAACTGATTAAATGTAGGTTTTCTTTCTTTTTTAAGGTTTTTGCCATAGGGTGTGTGCTCTTGCTGGAGAGAGCATTCCCTCAGAAGGGAATGCCCATGCTGCAATCTCTTCTCCATTCTCCTCTCAGGATTGTGGGCATGCATCCATATGTGCCCAGCATGGTTTTCAAGTCGCTGGGTCTGGGACTCAAACTGTGCTTGGCTATGTGGGAGTCCAACAGTTTAACCACCATGTCACCTGCTGGCCCCATAAATATAGGTTTTCTAGGTGCCAGCAGGTGGCATGGTGGTTAGAGGTGCTGGACTCCCACATGGCTGACTCAGACCTGGTGACTTGCGCTCTCTCTCTCTCTCTCTCACACACACACACATACACACATGCCCTGTGGCAAATTAAAAAATAATAAAACATACACAAAAATAATTTTTATATATAGATAGATTTTATAAGTAATGCTCACTCTAAACTGGTAGAGACAGAATCTCTCTTCCTCTGATTTACACTTGTAAGGATACAAGCCTATAACTACTGAGGCTTGCCACAGAGATAAGACCTCCCTGAGACAGAATCTATATTAGTTAGTTATTTCCTTTTTTTAATTAGTTTCTTTTTTTTTTTTTTCAATTTTTGGGACCAGCAGTTGGCATAGTGGCTATGTTGCTGGACTCCCATGTAGTTGACTGCAGTTTGAGTCCTGGACATGGAGGCTTAAACTCATGCCGGAAGCGTGTGCATGTGGTGCCCAAGATCCCGAGAGGAGAATGGAGGAGAAGGGATTGTGGCGTAGCCATCCCCTCTGGGGGGGTGATTTCTCGCTTTCTGTCTCTCTGTTTCTCTCTGTCTGGCGAGCGCATGCGCCCTGTAGTGAAAAACCTCAAAAAAAAAAAAAAAAAAAAGATTTTTGAAATAGGGCACATGTGCTCACTGGGAGATGGAGATCGACAGGAAAAATGAGAAATCACTCCACAGGGGGATGGCCATCCTGCAATCCCCTCTCCTTCATTTTCCTCTCAGGATTATGAGCATGCACACACACACACACAGCCAGCATATTTTTCAAGGTACCCAGTTGGGGATTTGAACCACGGAGTCAGCCGTGTGGAATCCGGAGCCTTAACCACCATATCACCTGCTAGCCCTTAGTTATCTATTTCTATGTAACAAATTACTGCCACAATTTAGCAGCTTCATATAACCAATATTTACTATGAGGCAAACTTAGTGAGGCGTCTCAAAGTATCTCACAAGGCTGCAATCAGGGTGGCTTCCAGAGCTACAGTCTCATCTGAAGGTTCAAGTGGTTGGGATCTGCTTCCATGCTCACATGGTTGTGAGCAGAATTTGGTCCTTTGTTGGACTGAGGGCCTCATTTTCTCACTGGCTGTTGGCTAGAGGCACCCTTCAGTTCCTTGCCTTGTGGGCTTGTCCTTAAGGCAGCTCACAACATGACAGCTGGTTTCTATCACAGTGAGCAAGTGACAATACAAGAAAGAAGCCACGGTTTTGTGTAACCTACTCAGAAATGACACCCCATCACTTTGCCATAATCTAGTCTTTAGGAGCACGCCATTAGGTCAGGCCCACATTCAAGGGTAGGGGATATATGCCAGAAGAGGGGTGTCATCAGTTGTTTTAGAAGATGTCTATCACAGAAGCCCAGGATTAAGGGGACTGACAAATTGTTCCCTGTAGTCTTCACTACAGGCTACCTATGGTCTCTCATTCAGAAGGTTCCTTCCTCCTTACAAAAGAGCAGACATGCAGAGCCCCACACTGCACGGCAGTCCTCCTGGCCTGCCTATTCCCACACGTCAGCATATCACAGTCACCTGGGAGCTGGTGAAGCACGCACTTTCCCAAGCCTACCTCCCAGATGGCCCTTCAGTGGCTTAGGGTGGAGTCAAGGAGTCTGCCTTCTTACAAGGCTCCCAGGTAATGCTGAAGGTGGCCCATGGACCACACCAGACCACCTACCTACAGGGCAGAAAAAGAAAGCCCATAGCACACCCCCTGGCCCATGGTTTGTGCCAACAGAAATAGCACTAGGGAGTCCAAGCAACTGGTGCTGGATCCTCTAGAGAACTCGGAGGCTCACTCGGTCCTGTATAGTCCTGGGGGTGGTTTCTAGACCTCCCCTGCCCCAGCTTTCCCAGAAGAGAGGAAGTAACAGCAGCACCACGTTCATTTTATAAGCACTTGGTTTTATTGCACAGAAGCAATTGAAAGTGGACTCCAGTGGAAAGTGCGCCCTGGTGTGGTTCAGTGGCCAGCGCCCAGCCCCATCCGCTCCAGCTCTTCAGGATAGGGAGCTCCGGGCCAGGGCCTGACCACTCCTTTGGAAAACAGAAGGCATTTGGGAATAGGTTAAGACATCTCAAGCATAATGTGTTTCTAACTGCTCATTCATTATTGCTCATTCATTATCTGTCAGTTGCACATACAGGAATTAATGCACTTATTTGGAAAGAAGGGGGACAGTTTTTATAGTCACGTGTTTACTTGTGGCATTCGGCATATATCACGTTCGGCTACATAAGCTATCATAACATAGTTGTCCATCGCTACATAAGCTATCATAACATATTTGTCCATCGCCTGGGGTGGGTTGGGGGCCTGGGAGAAAGGGGCTGGGTGTGTTCTCTCTTAGCTAACATATTGCTAACAAATTCCTGTTTGGTGAAGGAGGGCCCATAGTCTAAGCAGTTTCTTCTTCAGAAAGAAAAAGGGACAAAAATCAAAAAGAAACTTTGTTACACCGACCCTCAAGCTCCGGGACCCTCCTACGTTTCTTTGGCTGTTCTGGAAGTTCCTACCTTTCTGCCTTACTTCTCCCCCTTGGAGGCCTTGTCTTCTGTGGCCTTCTCTGGAGGTCTGCTGTCTTTTTGGTCTGTGCTAGAAGATTTTTCAGCCTTTTCCGTCTTGGGTTTGCTGGGTGTAGGGGCCTCCTTGCTGGGCTCTTTTGAGGGGGTTTTGTCATCCTCTTTGGCTTTGGCCTCTGTTTTGGGTTTCTCCTCAGGCTTCTTGGCCTCTGTGGCCTTCTCCTCCTTAGTGTCTTTTTTCTCTGGTGCTGCCGGTGTCTCTTCCTTCTTTGGCTTCTCTGGCTCCTTCTCTGTTGGTTTGGTGGGTTCTTTGGCCTTGGCATTGTCTGATTCTTTCTTGGCCCCCTCAGTCTTCTCTTTGGGTGGGGCCTCCTCCTTCACCTCCGTCTTGGCAGGGGCTTCCTTCTCTGGGGTTGCTGCTTTTTTCTTGTCTTCAGCCTCTTCCTTCTTGGCTTCAACTTTGGATTCTTTGGGCTTTTCTACTGCAGGCTCTTTCTTCTCAGCCTCGGGTTTGGGGGCCTCCTTCTTGGGAACCTCGTCCTTCTTGCTCTCCTTCTTCTCTTCGGTTTTTGGTGCAGCTGGAGCTTTCTCTTCCTCCACTTTCTTTGGAGGTTCCTTGACTTTAACCTCCTGGGGCTTTTTCTCCTCTTTCACGGGGGACTTCGCCTCTTCCTTCTTTGGGGTCTCCTTCTCAGGAGCCTTGGCATCCTCCTTTACAGGAGATTTGGCCTTCTCTGGGGTCTTGGACTCTTCCTTGACAGGGCTTTTGGGCTTTTCTGGGGATTTGGCATCTGCAGGGGACCTGGCCTCCTCCTTCACTGGGGTCTTGGCTTCTGGAGACTTCACGTCAAGAGTCTTGGCTTTCTCAGGGGACTTCGCTTCTTCCTTCACCGGGGACTTGGCCTTCTGAGGGGACTTGACCTCCACTGGGGACTTTGCTTCTTCCTTCACCGGGGACTTGGCCTTCTCTGGAGACTTGGCCTCAGCTGGCGATTTTGCCTCCTCTTTCACTGGGGACTTGGCCTTCTCAGGGGACTTGGCCTCGGCTGGCGATTTTGCTTCTTCCTTTGCCGGGGACTTGGCCTTCTCTGGAGATTTCGCTTCTTCCTTCACTGGGGACTTGGCCTTCTCAGGGGACTTGGCTTCAGCCGGTGACTTGGCCTCAGCTGGCGATTTCGCCTCCTCCTTCACTGGGGACTTGGCCTTCTCGGGGGACTTGGCTTCAGCTGGCGATTTTGCTTCATCTTTCGTGGGAGACTTGGCCTTCTCAGGCGACTTGGCCTCAGCCGGAGACTTGGCCTCAGCCGGCGACTTGGCCTCAGCCGGTGACTTGGCCTCAGCCGGTGACTTTGCTTCTTCCTTCACAGGAGACTTGGCCTTCTCAGGGGATTTGGCCTCAGCTGGTGACTTGGCTTCTTCTTTCACTGGGGACTTGGTTTCCTTCTCTGGTGATGCAGCCTCTTCTGCTGAGGGAGACTTTGCTTCTTCTTCCCCTTCTTCCTCCTCTTCTTCCCCTTCTTCCTCCTTGCCTTCCTCTTCTTTAGCCTCTTTCTCCTCTTCTTCAGTCACTTCTTCAGTCACTTGAATCTCCTCTGTCTGTTCCTCCACAATCACAGTTTCCTTCTCTGACTTTTCTACCACCTTGATCTTCTCTTCACTTTTGACCTTTATGTGAGTGGATGTGGAGGGGATTTTAGGGAGTCCTTCTGAAAGGGAGAAAGGACTCGGGCCAAAACCAATCCGACACTCTTCACCTTCCAGGAGTTTTCTGCAGGATGAATAATTGAACACATTACTATTAGTTCAGAACAGATTCACTGGTTTAGAGTCTTTTAGATTATCCAGAAGGTTCATGGCATCCAGTGATATAGACCGTGGTGGTGGAAGGAATAGGAAGGGTGGGCAATTACAAGGTTGGAGAACGTCACATAGCAAATCATCCCAGTGACATCCTGGAAACTCTAGCCCCATGGGGTTGCTCTTATCAAAGGCAGCCAGAATTGTCAACTCATGAGACTAAAACAACCTCCCTCCCCCCAAAAATGGCCCTCAAGAGAGCTGTCCAGCATTAATAAAAGTTATATTTATCGTCTCTTAACTAAAATGCTACTCAAGAGAAAGCTAGGAGGCTGAGCAAACAATTCCACATTTACAAATTTGGGTTTAAGAGGTCTTAGAATGTTCCCATTTGAATTTCATTCCAAGATCATCCTTTGGGCTTTGGAAATAGGGCGGTGGCAGTAGCTTCTCTTGGCTTTGCTGCTCATTAAGTGTGGCCTTAATCAAGCCACTAACTTTTTTCTTTTTTTTTTTTTTTTCCAGAGGGTATGTGTACTTGCCAGAAAGAGGGTGAGGTGAGAAAGCAACCCCCATGAGGGATAGTCACAGTATAATCCCTTCTCTGTTTCTCCTGGGCCTTGCAGGATTTTTTGATATGCGCACACGCGCGCGCACACACACACACCCCTTGCATATTTTTTAAGCTGTTGATTTCAGAACTTGTACTGTCGGCCACATGTGAGCCAGAGCCACTGGCTGGCTAGCTTCTCAAACTCTAAGCCTCAATGTCTTCATGGGTAAAAAGAGAGTCTTAAGTGCTTCTATTTCAGTGGGCTGTTTCAATGAGACAATGCATAAAAATGACTTGTCATGAAGTCAGAAGGAGGCAGGGAGTAACATAGCTGGGCCCACATGGGAAAGCTTGTTGGTTCAAACTCCAAGTGCTCCTTGAGCACACTGCCATGATCCAATGACAACCTTGTTGAGGGTGCCTATTTCTCTTTGTCATGGAAGACATAAGTAATAAACTTTAAAAAGAAGACTTGTCAGAGAGCCTGTCTCAGAAGTAAGTACAGGGGCTACCCCTATGGACCAGTGCTTTGTAAGTTAAAAGCATACAGCTCGCGTGGGGGGATCTCGTTAAAATGCAGATTCTACTTCAGCAAGGTAGGCCAGGGCCTGAGAGTCTGCCTGTTTGACGAGCTCCTGGAGGATACTGATCTTGCTTGTTCACAGGTCACGCTCTTCTAGACTAGAGCCAGGAGGTGGGAAGACAAAGGTCACCATTCAGCAATGGGACAGGTCCTTCTACGGTCATCCCTGCTCCTTAGCAATGTTGTAAAAACCCCTAAGAACTCAGGAACTTCTTTTCCTTCCAAAGCAGCCTCTGATGAGCTGGATTTGGGGAGGGGATAAGGAGCATTAATCCCCTAAGTCACTGACAGAATGAAAGTGAACCATTCTCAGGATTGTTTTTCTGGGTCATGTGGTAGTACAGTGGTAATGTGACTGAATCCACATGGGAAAGGTCCCAGGTTTGTGCCCCGGGCCCTCCCTGAGCCCACCAAGCACAAAGCATGCTCATGCTCTGGCTGGCTGATACTGGGGGTGGACCATGGCATGAAGGCCCTGTTGGAGATGCCTGTCTCGCTCTGTATCTTTCTGTTTCATGGGAGAAATGGATAAATAAAAATACTCCGACAGAAATTTCTGTTTGTTTTTCAGAAGGTGGAAGGCTGAAGGAACAGGGTAATATTGAATTCCTGCTTAATGGTATGGTGTTTCTGTCCCGGAGATGGATGGTGGTGATGGCACCACAGAGTACATGTACTAAACACCACTAAGCTATACACTTACAATGGTGAAGTGGTAAATTGTATGCAATCTATATTCTTTCTTGTGTGTGTGTGTGTGGAAAGGTTTTTGCTATAGGCTACGTGTGCTCGCCAGAAAGACAGAGAGACAGAGAGACAGGAAGCAAGAAATCACCCCCCAAGGGGATGGCCACACTGCAATCCCTTCTCCTCCATTCTCCTCTTGAGATATTGAGCATGCACGCATAAGCACCTGATGTGAGTTTAAGCCACCAGGTCCAGGACTCGAACCACAGTCAACTACATGGGAGTCCAGTGACATAGCCATTATGCCAACTGCTGGTCCCGATGCTATCTATATTCTAAATACATACACACACACACACACACAGATTTTGGTCTCCCAAGACAGGCAGGCTGCCTAAATGGGGGCTTGAAACCTACAGCTGAGCTCCTCACAAAAAACACAAGGGCTCCAAGCCACCCAAAGGCCCCTGGCCTAGCTCACCTGTAGGCAGCAATCTCAATATCCAGAGCCATCTTGACATTGAGCAGGTCCTGGTACTCGCGGAGCTGGGCTGCCATCTCCCACTTGGTGTTCCTGAGCTCAGTATCCAGCTGCTGAATGGCTTCCTGGGGACAAGAGGTCATACACGTCATGCACTAGCCAGTCCCAGGGAAGTGGAGATTAGCTCTGTAATCCCAGAGCAGCCCTATCCAGCCAGAGATTTTTGCTGGGGCCAGCAGATAGTATAGTGGTTAAGCCACCGGACTCCCATAGGGCAGACCACAGTTCGGATCCCAGACCTGGTAGCTTAAAAATCATGCTGGGCACATGTGCATGTGTGCCCAAAATCCCAGGAGAAGAATGGAGAAGGGACTGAAGCATGGCCATCCACCCTGGGGGAGTGGTGATTTCTCACTTTCCCTCACTGTCTCTCTGCCTTTTTCCAGTAAGCACATGTGCAGTAAAGTATAGCAGAAACCTAAAAAAAAAAAAAGTTGCCATAGGTGATGGCTGAATTCTTACAGCTCTTTTAACGTAAGAAAATACTGACTAGGTCAGGGTCTTCCCTGCTTTTGCTGCTCACTGTCTGCTCAATGCTCCAAATGCCTGCCACACAGTCAGCATTTGGGAAGCATCTGCTGGTGATGACTGAGACAAGGCCCAGAAACACATTCAATTCAAGTTGAACTTTTCTTCTGGTCCCAAGTGCACTGTAGCAAGCACATAATGTGAGCTATTTATTATAGCTTTTAGTTTCTCCTCTTTGCTTTCCCTATTTTCTAATTTTCCTACCATCCCTGTGTAGTGCTCACCTACTAAGTTCTTTGAAAATAGTAATTTTCTCTCATCAGTTGTCTTTTTTTTTTTTTTTTTTGAGAGATTTTTCTATAGGGCGCATGTGCTCTACAGACGCAGAGAGACAGAAAGGAAGAAATCACCCCCCAGCAGGGATGGCCATGCTGCAATCCCTTCTTCTCTTGGGATATTGGGCATGCATGCACATGTGCCCAGCATGAGCTTTAAGCCCCCAGGTCTGGGACTCAAACTGCGGTCCACTACGTGAAAGTCCATCGATGCAACCATTACGCCATCTGCTGGTCCCTAACCAGTTGTCCTAAATAAGAGGATTCTGCCAAGGCCTTTCCGGGCTGCCCATCACCACTGGCTGCTGTGCTGAAAGATGAAAGACCACCTGACCAAGTCACAGATGAGCACCTTCGCATTCTTGTTTTAAGTTCATCTATCTCTTTGAGCTTTAAAGAGATAGATACGTTTTGATTTTTTTTTTTAATTTGCTAGAGGGCATGTGTGCTCAGGAGACAGAGGGAAAGTGAGAAAGTGCACCCCATGGAGAATAATCTTGCCACAATCTCTCTCCTCCATTTGTCCTTTGGGGATTTTAGATACACACGCACACACACTGGCATGGTTTTTCAAGCTGCTGGGTCCAGGCCTCTAACTGCGCAATCAGCTGTGTGGGATCCAGCCACCTTAACCACTGTGTCATTGGCTGGCCCCGAAACATTTTAAACTTTAAAATGCAAAGCAGGCATCCTTTCTTTTTTTCTGCATTGCAGGGAAAGGCTTCAGACTCAGACAGGCGGATAACTACTGTACTCACACAGCTAGAAAAGTACTGCTATGTCTGACTCCGAGGCCCATGATCTCAGTTTTGACAACTCTGTCCAGAGAGGGTCAGTGACTTGGCCAGGGTCACCCAACTGGGTGAGGCAGTCTGGCTCTCTGCCCAACCCCTGCCCACCTGGTAGGACGCAATGTCAGCTTGATGACGGTCCTCCAGCTCAGAGCGCTGCCTCTCCAGTGATTCCTTCGTGCTTTTCAGCGTCTCCAGCTCTGTGGTCCTGGCCTGCAGCTGACGCCGATACTCAGTTATTTCCTCCTGCGCTGAGCGCATGGCATCTGTGTTCACCTTGGCTGCCTCCGACAGTCGGTCCAGCCTCACTAGGGAAGAAGCGGGCAGGGCATAGAGTAAGACATACCTGGCTTCCAGAAAACTCCCTGGGTTCCAGTGCCAAGATGCAGAAGGTGACATTACTGCCAGGCACCATCCTGAATATTTAATTCACCCTATCCTGTGAGATAGACAAATGACCACGGCTCAAAGCCACCCAGCTGGTATATGGCAGTGCTGGGATTAGAATCCAGTGTCTCTGTGGTTCCTATGATCACTCTTGTCTCAACCCGTGGAATTCATAAACACTGCAGGGCAGAGGAAGCCCCTGTTTCCTAATGCAAAAGGCTGGTAGTGTTAGGGGTTCAAATGTGAGACCTGGCCCTGGGGCTCGGCTCTAAGCTGGGTGTGGAGGCTACAGCTGAACCAGCTCATGTGACTTCTGGAGGCTCAGTGGTGCTGAAAGCATTAAGGTCACCACGTAACCCCGGTCCCTTCCTTGCAGGTTTTGGCAGAGTCCAAGGTCACTGCAGAGCCCGAGGTCTGTGTGCCGACCCTGCTGTCCCTTCCTCCACTTGGCTTCACATTCTTTTGCACAGAAGCCCCTGAGCCCATGGCAGCCATGCCCTGGCCCCTGCCATCAATGGGTTCCTGGTTCCCAGAAGACCTTCCAGGGCCAGTGGAAATCTGGAGACTGGCCTTCATCTGGAAATGAACATCCTGAATCCCCAGATACTCGCACCCAGGACCTGAGTCTTGGTAGAAAGGGAGGACGAGATCAGCAGGGTGGGCCAGAAGTCCTGGAATGGGCGGTCTCTATGAAGGGCAAATACAGGAGAGCAGAGAAGTCTGTTCTGGGAGGGGTCTTGCTGCAGAGATGGGGGAGGAGATGGCTCTGCCACTGCAGAAGAGTGGAAAGGGAAGGAAAAGTCCTATATCCACATTCAGCTCTCCTTGTGAAAGCCGGCAGACTTAGAACCCATCCAGGTGGGTGAGGATTCTCACCTACTGTGGATCACAGACCCGCCCGAAAACCACTGAAGCCTCTGCACTCTCTCCAAGAACAACGCACCATCTTTCAGGGATCCTGGAACTTGCCAGAATGAGAAGCATGGTTGGGCCACACTGCTCTCTCAACCCACAAAGAAATGAGAGGGCAAGTACTGCTCAAGGTCACCCCAACAACTTGAGCGCCTTTGCAGTTTAGCTGACTCAGGGCTGCATGGAGTTGGGGGAGGGGGGCCGACTTGGGAGGCTCCCACAGCCCTGAAGGAGAGAGGGGACACTACAATGTTAAAGAGCCCACAGCCATCTCAGCCACTGGCAGCAACTGGGTGATGGTCCTCCCTGAAATGGAAGGATGTGAGAATGACCTGCCCCTCCATCCCACAATGTAGATTAAGGTGGCTACATCAATCCTGGAACTGGTAGTGGGGAACAGCTGGGAAGGGGTGAGGAAAATGGGGGGTCCCCTGCTGGAAAGGGGAGTGGGTAGGGTTGTAAGGTGTCCATAAGTACCTGCTCTGGACGTGTAAAGGGAACCTGTTCTATTCTTGATGGGGAGATGGGCCATAGAGTGAGGTCGCCAAGGTTTGGGGTGGAGAGCAGAGGGACCCCAGAGTTTAAATATAGACATAAATCTGGAGGACGATAGCCAGACAACCCAGAGTGGGGGGCATCCCACAGCAGTCTCAGACTACCGCTGTTTAGTTAGGAGACAGAAGCTTTGGAGACAGAAACTGGACTGCTGGCTTTCTGGTCCAGCCAAGTCCTCATGAAGCCACCCCCTCCACATACACCCTCTTGGGTCTATGTGCCCAGCAGCTTGCTGTCTGTACAGCAGGTGGCGCCCCTCTTCCCCTCGCCCCACCCCAGACTCCCCCATGCCCCACCCCAGCGCCTGCGCACCTCGGAACCACTCCTCGGACTGCAGCGTGCTCTGCACCGCATGGCCTTCGAGCTGCGCGCGGATCTCGCGCAGCGCCGACGTCACGTCGCACTTGAGGGCGTCGCGCGCCTCGGCCTGCGCCTGCGCCTGCGCGGCGCCGCAGCCCTGAATCTGGCCGAGCAGCTCGCCAACCTCCCCCTGGTGGGGTCGGCGCAGGGTG